AATAGAGGAAAAACTATCCATTGACAAGACTTATGAAGGAATTAATGTTATAATATACTATATAAATTTGGAGGATAAAGAGACTATTTCTCTTTTTTAAAATTAATTATATACATAGGCGTGCGCAGGCCTCTTTTTCAGGATATGCAGAAGACTGACAATAGCGCGCACTGAAAGTTATTTTAAGATCGTAAAATTCTGATAATATGTAATACACAATTCACAAATATTGAAAAACCTACTGTTTAATTAAAAAACTATAATAGACTAATAATAAATACCATTACACAATACAAGAAGTATGTATTTCGCAAATACTTGGTAGTTGATAACTGATAACTGGATGTTTCAATTTTCCAGAGTCGACGTTCTCCCCTCACAGAACTTCAGGGTAGCAGCTGCATACCCTGCATACCCCCTGCTTACGCTCATGATTATATAGGTTTTAATCTAATATATGTATATTTTATCAATAATAAATTTGTTAAGAAAACAAAAAAACCTTATGTGAAATAAACTTGGAACATCAATTATTGCTTGGTTAATATTGACAACATAGGACCACTAACTAAATTTAGTTTTAAAATAATACGGAAACAAGTAGAAAAAATTCAATTTTTATATAGGTTAGGTTAGGTCTTAATGAAATTCTGAACAAAAAATCTAAACTAAATTTATTATATTGAATTCCATTTTCCTAGGTAATACGTACCTTTTTCTAACGAGTGAGAACTTACATTTAGGCCCCTTTAAACGTCCTCAAATCAAATGTACATACTTATTCACATTCACCAGTTTACCCCCCTCAAACCTTTTCTATATAGTCCACGATGACTTATATATTTGTATGGACACGTAACACCTCACCTATATAAAGCACTTAACACACATCATAGGCCGACCCTGCTGTATGTAAGGCATTCAAACTTTTGCGATTCACAATTCACATTATGTTTACCCATCTACAGATATCGTATCAAAAGGCAATATAATATTTCAGGGTGGATGTAAGTTATACTACACGAGACCTACTATCCGGTAAAAAAATTACACATGCCAGTTCCTAAATCATAAACGATAGAAAAAGGTACACACATAATATGCAAGTTCTTACATGGTAAACATGTACCTACGCATTTTAGGTATATATGGTTCCCGGATATAAAAATGTGGCGTGTAAGTTGGTAAACGATAAAAAAATATTGGCGTCTGGTGTGAATTTAGCGACTATTTTTCAAAAATTCGTATTAGATAAACATCAGGAGCTAGCCGACAACGTCCCGACAAACTGTTGCGAGTCAACAGTTTTACTAGTTTTTGATATTGCGTGTTTGATTTAGCATTGGCCGTTGATGTGAAATTAGTGTTTCAGTTTTTCGTCATATAAAATACGAATTATTGTATTTTTATTTTATATAAAATAAGATATAAGTAGTTAAAAATAATAATAGGAAGGCATAGGTACCTAAATGTTATAATTAGTTATAAGTGTTATCTTTAGTTGTTAAAAATTTATAAAACTTTTAAATCTTAAAAAAACGAAGTACCACGTAAGTAGTTAATTCCACTTAAAAAAAATCTAAAAACTTCACAAACAATTTTTTATAGTTATCTTAATTTCAAATTTGGATGAAATTACATATTAAATAATTAAGAATACAAATTTTAGTTATATTGTTGTAATTTAAAAATATTGTACGTGTGAACTTTAAATTGTATAATATACCTACTATGAATGACCGAGTGAGTCGTGCGCATAATGAATCTCGACTCTATTTTTTTAATTTTTTATTGAAATAATAGCAAAATAAATAATATTGTATAAAACTACAAAATGTCATAGACTGACAACTCGTCTCCACTAGGAATCAATTTTCTTGTACAATGATATTATATTATTGAATTAAAATTTAATACCATCCATTACAGTAACCCACTTGTCAATTACTTAACAGCAGAGCGATATCTACTTAGCCACTTAATTGCGTTTTATGTTATATAATTATTTTTATATTTATATACGTATTTTTAATGTTTTACCTTCTATATCGAATATTTTAGTTATTTACTTAAAATAATCTGGGACCTAACTAGTATAGGTACTTCCTGTAATTAACCCCCAAAGATTCAAATGGGATGCATTGGTGGAACCTGTAGTTCTGGATTAATACAATTCGTTCAAGTAAATACCCCTCGTGAGCTAAAAAAAAAATTGATCCAAAACTGATTACAACGGTAGGTTCTACGATTGATATTTGTGTAGGTTTTTCGAAAATTTTCTTTACAAAAAATAATTTAAAATCTCAGTAAACAAGTAATAGTGTTAATGATTTAATGTAAATCAATCGCACTAATTTGATTCAAGTTTTTTGGTACCAAAAATTAGGAAGTCACTATTGACATATTTATAAGTGTTATATATGTACACTATTGGATTGAAGATTGGAGTGTTCAAAGTTCTACTTTGGGTGGGTAAAAATTGCATAAACTTGTCCCAACCGCCTCCCCTGTATATTTACTTGGACCTACCTATGTTATTATGATTGAAGCTTTATATAACTAATATAATAATCTATAAAACTTGTATTCTTTTAATATTAATTAGTGAGTAAGTGGTACAGTTTAATACAAACCAAGTTTAAAATACATTATATATACATATTATACTAATGTGTACCAGACGGAAATGTGAAAAATCATTTTCTGTTTAAAAATGTATTTAAATGTTCAATTGTTACAAGTTTCCCATAAGTGTTTATTGTTTAAGTCTTACTCACGTACTACACATATCAAATTTTCGTTCACTATTTTCAATAGTGTGCTGTTAGTCTTGATATTAGAGCGAACTGAGTCATTATCCAACTTTTAGGTAATAACATTATTTGTGATCTTTGGTTGGTTTTTTACAATATTTTAATCTTTAAATGAGTTATTCGTATATAATGCATAAATATTTGAAAATGCACATAACTCATTCAAAATTTACTCTAATATCAGAGTCAACTGCAGCACACCATTAAAACTTGTGAACGAAAATTTGCTTATGTAGTATACATGTGTAAGACGGCGACAACACATGCGCCCAAAGTGCTTTTAATTTTGATAGTCTTTCTAAGTTCAAAATGTTGAACACACCGTTTGGACCAATATGTTAGATATTTTAATTTATTACGACTATTAACGATTAATAGAATTACCAGAACTATATTTAGATACCTAGGTACTAAGGCATTTACAATGATGGATTTAGCATCACTACAACCATCATTAAGAAATTGAAACTATATATGTCGTACATTTCTACAATAAATTGCTGTTGAACAATGTCACATCCACTGCAGGACGTATAGTTATCACGCGGAGGATTTGACACAGAGATAATTAGTGCGTAACGGGACTTTTGAGACACACTGTACGACGGAAGTCAAACAAAATAATTTTGTCGCGTTGATTCGACCGCCCATTGCACAACCCTACCACGACGAGACCCGACCAATTAAACGACGCAACGATCGCGAACCCGACAGCCGTTAGGCTATAAAAACGAAACTTAAACCGATCGGAACTGTAGTGTCAGTCCATCAACTATTAAAGCTCAAACATTGACCGGATCAACTTCGTCGTCGTTGAGGAACAGATTCCGAAATAACAGACATCGCAGTACCGCATATTAGGTACCATAATCGATTTCCTCCGAAAAAACAACAAAAACAGCAAAGCCAAAATGTTTCAGTCGTACACCGTCGTGCCCGTGTTCGTTTTGGCCATACTTTTTAACTTCATCTACGTGTTCTCCGACGATGATAATTTGTCTTCAACGAATTCAACTTCACCAAATAGCATTAATTTCACGTCGTGTAACGAATGCTTGCAATCGAAGTGCCACAAAGAATGGGGTGGACCGTGCATTCCCATCAACGACACCACACCAAACTCACAGAACTCATCGATTTTCCAGTGTCTCATGTGTGAAGAGGACGATGAGGGAAACGCTATGTACTACAACAAAGAATATTGTGAAAGTTTATGCCACAATAAAGCTCACGGTTGCCATTGCAACGGCCAGTGTTTCACGTGCTTTGAAGTGAGTGTACCTAACCTTACCTCATCTGATTCGTGCAACCTGCCCACCCAGATGTTTGACGATAAGTGTACGTTAACAAATTACCATATGGTCGGTTTATGAAACCGTGCCATCTTCATCATGATATTATTTAATATTAATATTAATTACATTATATTTTTTTTTCAACTATAATTTTTGTTCTCAGAAAAATTACCCTTCCTAACCCCCTTACCAAGTAAACAAAAAAAATACAAAAATTCTTTAAGTTATTGTTATGCCTTATGCAGTACCTATTCTATATGATATTATATAAATAAACTATTGTACCTTCATTGTTATCACTATAATTATTATTATTATATAGTTAAGATTCAATGTTTGTATAACATTATAAATTATACCTATGTAATCGGTAAATATATCTAACCATTAAATTATGAATTATTCCACGGTGGGGGGATTGACTTCATATTTTTGTGAAATAACCAATTTCAAATGTCTATATAAACAACTTCAAAAGATTAAGATT